GGGGGGGGGGGGGGGGTCCACGCACACACATGGGGGAAGGGAGGCTGATGGCAGCACATAGCATTGGGCATCACTTTGGGAGAGATGCTCAGGAACCTGGGAGCCCCCTGCCATGCAGATGTGATGAGGTTGGGGCTCGCTTCCCTGGAACAGTGTCTGCCTTCTTGGTGTCTGGGGTGTAAACACACAAGCCAATTGGACAGAGCCTGCAAAGCCCAGCTGTGTGACTATGAGCCTGGGGGATAAACAGCTTGCTGCCCACAGAATAAGCCATTTGCCCTTCTTCCTTCACAAAACAATCCTGGTTCCTCCTGGGACCTGTGTCCCCAGAGAAGAGGTTTCATTCTTCAGCCGCCCCTGCAGGCAGTGGTCTGAGATCCAGGGAAAAGTCTTTGGGTGGCACTTCCAGGGAAGAGTTTTAAAGGGGCCTTATCAGCTAGAGACACATCCTTTTGCCCTTCCCTCTTCTTCCTGCACAAAACAGGAGAGCTCCAGCCGCTATCTTGGACCATCAGCCCCTTAACGATAGAAAGTATGTGTGGTGAAGCAAAGTGACAAGGAATCTGGGTGCCTGATAACTGAGAGCCCCTAAAATTCTCCTGAGAGAAAAATAAACCACCATCTCATTTAGACCACTGCTCTCTGCGTTTCCTCTTATCTGTACGCAAACCTAAATGCCAAGTGAAGCCCAACCCACATGGCCCTCACGCTGGCTGGAGTAACAGTGTCGCTGTCTCACTGAGAATTAGAATGTGTCCTTGAGATGTGCTCTTGCCCTAGGACCTCTGAGCATCCAGGTGGCTGCATGTTCTTGTGGGTAAAGTGAGGGGAGTCCCCGCACCCCTTCCTGGGCTTGCTTTGTTAGTAATGCTGGAGGAACATGTGGGTGGAGGTGGCCTGGCCACAGCTCTCGGGTGCTGCCCGTCCTGAATGACAGCTGCCCATTAGTCCTGAAGTAGAGAAGCACAGAGGTGCTGAGCAGGGAGGATTTGGGGGAGCGGAGTGGCGGGGCAGGCAGAACAAGGTGGGCTGGGCAGGTGGGGTGGTGCAGGGAGGGTCACTTACAGGTGCCCGCATGGTACTTGAGGGCGCTCACGCTGTGTCTGTGGGCTGGGAACGTGCGCACACACTCCCCCGTGTCCGCCAGCCAGCACTTGACGGTCCTGTCGGCGCTGCCCGAGTACACATGCTGGTTCGCGAGCTGAGGAGGGACGTGGGTACTGCGGCTCAGAGGCCCTCCCAGCCTCTCCGAGTGGAAGGGGAGGGGATGTGCTGGGCTCAGTGGAGAAAGTGCATGAGCCAGAAACGCCCGTCTGTGGGTCCCACCTGACCGCCTGCTCCGCACCCAGGACCTCCCTGCTCCTCCCCGCTTCCCGGGGAGCGTGGGGCTGGGCAGGCAGGCAGACCCGGCTCAGGTCTTCACTGTTACTCGCCCTTGGCCAAGTCACTGACTGCTCCTCAGCGGCTTCACGGAAGGTAAGGACCGTGCCAGCACCATACTGGTAAGAGCAAGGACCCCCAACATTCGCCGGCATAGAGACTACTTCTGCCAGGTGCCAATGGGGTGATTCCTGCCTAACCCAGTAGGACTGGTGTCCTTCCAGGTAGAGGAAATGTGGACACAGAGGGAAGGCCATGTGTGGCCGGAGGGAGACGCCTCAGGAGAAACCAGCCCTGCAGACACCTTGATCTTGGACTTCCAGCCTCTAGAACTGTGAGACACCGAGCTCTGCTGTTTCACCCCCACCCGACCCCCACCTGTGGCACTTTGTCAGGAAGGCCCAGCCGACTGTACAGAGGGCAGGGCAGCACAGACAGGGGGCGGCGGTCTCACCTCCAGACAGATGACAGAGCCCTGGTGCTCCCGGAACACCCGCAGCTGCTCCCCACTCAGGATGTCCCAGGCGCGGATGGTGGTGTCCGTGCTGCCCGTGAAGGCCGTGTGGCTGGGCGTGTCCAGCACAAGGCACAGCACGGCACCCGTGTGGCCCCGTAGCGTCTGGTGGCAGCAGCCACTGGCCACCTGCCACACCTTGGCCGTGCCATCCGTGCTGCCTGTGACCAGCAGCCCCCCGGCCACAGCCTCCTCCTCGAAGGGAGCCCCGGGCAGGTCCCAGGGGGCGGAGTAGGCCAGAGTCAGCACGCAGTTGCGGTGGCCCCGGAACTCCCGGGACACCTGCCCCTTGTCCACACTCCAGGCACGAGCTGTCCGGTCATAGGAGCTGCTGAAGAGCTGGTTGTTGGTGACCAGGATCCTGGTGGCAGAGGGAAAGGCCAGGGGTTGGCCCACAGGGCTGCCCGGGAGGCTGTCACAGGGTCCCTTTGGCAGGTGTCCTCCATGTTCAGTGAGCCCAGGCAATGGGAAGCATGAAATGCTCCCAGAGAAAGTCCTGGGCTGGAGCACCCCAGGCCCCTGCTTCAGGGGGGACTGTGAGGGGGGTCAGGAGAACACCCCTGAAGTCGCAGGGGCCCAGGCAGAGGCCACCACCCACAGAACAAAGCCCAGACTGAAGGCGTCCTGGTCACTGCCATCGTAACCCCACCACCTGCATGGACACCTGCCCGGGCCAGGGGCCGGCTGCCTCTGCACTGTGGCTGGGAGACACTCCCTCTCCACCCAGTGGCCAGTCACCCCCGGGGTTCAGCTGAAGACCCCTTCTCTAGGACGCCGCCCAGAATCCCCACCCAGTGCTGAGCCGTGGTCCACTCAGACCTTCCCCGCAGCAGGGCCCAAGGCTCCGATGCTTCCATCCCTCCCAACGCGTGGACCACAGCAGCCGCTCCCGTTACAGTTACAGAAGCGGGCGTGGGGAGGCCCACCCTCCAGGTTTGCCCCGAACTGAAAGGCTGCTGGGAACATGGGACTTGCAGTTTAAAAACCAGGAAAGTTCTGGGCAAAGTGGGACACACTGGTCACCGTAAGGACAGGTCAGACTCGGGCTGGGGGGGGCACCGGGACGGTAGAGCCTTGGGGGAGCTGGGAGTTATGCGTGCTTTCTGAAAGGCCTCTGTGTCACTCTCACAGCGCCAGTGCCAGATCAGCCCACGAGTGACTTCTGTAAAGTCAGGGCCATGGGAGACACAATCAGACAAGTCTCGGTGGGGTGGGGGTGGGAGCGGGCATGGCATCTGCTGTCAGCTCGCACAGCCAAATGTCATTTGGGCCGACGTCTGCTGACAACACTCCAGCCAAGGGCCCCAGGGAATCCTGGGTGAGAGGAGCAGGAGGGTCTGGCCACCTCCCCCTGCCCCCAATGCAGGAAGAAAGGCCGCTCAACAGTAAAAACTCGTGAATCTTTTTCTCCTTTCGATAAATGCTAAGGCCGTCTTCCCAGAAAAATACACATTTGTCTTTAGTATAGAACATTGGCTGTGACTTCAAAGGGCCTGTGTTGAGGAGGCTGAGCCCCCAGGCCCCTAGACCACAAAGGGCAGAGGCCAAGGCTGAGGCTGGAATAAGGCCGCGTCCTCGGTGTGGGGACAGAGGGGTCAGGTTAGGGACACCTTGCGCTCCCTCCGTCCTGGAGGCTGACGCGGCGGGAGGAGAGATGGACCACACGAGAGAACAGACCTGCCTGCACCGAACCCAGGCCCCGCATCCTGCAAGGTTCTCACCTCCTGCAGGTAACTAAGGAAACAGACTCACTAAAACAGCTCCTGCCCTGGTAGATGTGGTTTCCACGACGTGTGTATTTCTAAAGGAAAGTGACGACCTGCTGTCACATAGCACCATGGGTGATGTTCTGGGGGCCTGCAGGCTGCCGGGTGTGGCCTGGCATGAGAGAGCAGAGACGCCAGGCCTGGTGGGCACCCCCAGAAGCTCACACACCTGGCCCAGCTCTGAAAACACGGGAGGAAGTGAATTCCACGTCCTCACCTCAGCGGTGTCACACATTTGCAAACACAGTTATTAATGCAAATGTCTTCCCAGATCTACTGCTCAAAAGTAGTGTGTGCACTGGCCGGTTTGGCTCAGTGAATAGAGTGTCGGCTTGTGGACTGAAGGGTCCCAGGTTCGACTCCGGTCAAGGGCACGTGCCCAGGTTTCGGGCTCAACCCTCACTAGGGGATGTGCAGGAGGCAGCCGATCAACGATTCTCATCATTGATGTTTCTATCTCTCTCTCCCTCTCCCTTCCTCTCTGAAATCAATAAAAAGCAGCTGATAGTTTCCAGGTACAACCTGAGAGCAAGCTGGTCACCTGAGGGGTGGCTTCTCCCACCTGTCACACTGCCAACCACTCACGCCTCACAAAAGGAGGCTCCCCTCTCCCATACTTTTCCTCAGTCACAAATTTTTCTCAAGAGAGAGTGCTGGGACCTGGCTGGGTGGCTCAGTTAGTTAGTGTCATCCCGATACACCAAGGTTGTGGGTCTGATCCCGTCAGGGCACATACAAGAACCAACCAAGTAATGCATAAATGAGTGCAGAACAAACTGATGTTTCTCTCTCCCCCCACCTCTCTCTCTCAAAAGAAAGAAAGAGCCCAGCCAGCATGGCTCAGTGGTTGAGCGCCAATCTATGAACTAGAAGGTCACGGTTCGATTCCCGGTCAGAACACACATACCCGGGTTGTGGGCTCGATCCCCAGTGTCTCTCTCTCGCCCTTCTTCTCCAGAATCAATAAAAATATGTTAAAAAAATACATAAAAGAGCGAGAAAGGATGGAAGGGAGGGAGCAAGGGAGGAAAGGAGGGAGGGAGGAAGGAAGGAAGGGAGGGGGGAGGAAGGGAGGGAGGAAGAAGCAAGAGCGCTGGGAGAGGCCAGCGGAGCTGTGAGTCCCGAGCCCTAATTCTACCCCTTTGCTACCACTTGTCCACTTGTCTGCTTGGCCCTGGCCTCCCAGGTCTCCGGCCTTGCCTGCTCCAGCTAACCGTAGGGGACAAAAGTTGGGCTGCTGGAAGGTGGGCGGGGGACGGGGCCTGCCTTCCCAACTCTGAACCATCCTGTGTGTGTGTGTGAACATGTGTACATGTGTGTGTGGTGTGCCAACACAGCTCTACTGTCTTTCTACTTAGGGGTGTTGTTGAGTTCCTGCCCTGTGGGTGCACCATTCCGACTGCAGGCAGCTGGTACTTGGTCAGTTAATGGTCAGTCTGGCCATTACTGGGCACTTGACCATTAACAAGTCAGGTCCCACCCGACCCAGGTGTGAGTAAAGCCCGTGCTGGCAGCATCCCTCCTGGCTGGGAGTATCCTAGTCCGCCAGCCCAGCCCCGCCCGCCTCTGTCCCCTCAAACCACTGCCTGCACTGGGTCTCTCCTTATTTACCGCCCAGGCAGGTGGCCTCCTGTCAGTAAGGCATCGGGAAGGCCGAGGGCGGGGCCAGACTCCTGCTGATCCGGGCAGTCCCCCAGGAGCCTGCGATGGCCGCAGTTACATAAATAATGTTAAATTGATCTGATCAGCAAAGGAATTTCATGGCTCAGCTCAGACCCAAATCCAATAAGGGAAAACTCAAACCGAGGCGGGGGGTGAGGGTAGAGGGAGAAGAACAGTTTCAAGTGCAACATGGAAAGGAGAGGTTTAAAAATACCCTGGCTTCATCTTCAGAGCCACCCCCATTGGCTGCTCCACCACGTCCCTGGCCCACCATCGGGTACCAATTAAGCCATTTCCTCTGGAATCTGTTCCACCCTAGGAGTTGTGGCCTCCAGATGCCGTTCCCTGTGCCCAGCAGGGGGCAGTATGCAGCCAAGTCAACGTGTTCCCCACCTCTGCCTCCCAAACCCCCACCTGCAGCCCTGGGTAGTGGGCACTTGTCACACCTGGGGACACTTCTGTCCTGAACTTCCCATTGCTCTGTGCTCCTGGTGACCAACCTGCGTGCCCACAGGCGGCTTCCCCACAGAAGCTACGTTCCTCCAGGGCAGCGGCCTCAGGGCTACACCTCTGTCCCCTGGGGCCCAGCCAGGTAAGAGGAGAGGCCGAGTCCTCATTGCCTGTCAGCCCGGGCCGGACATGCTGACCTGTTCACAATGGACGTGTGTCCTCGGAACACCTGCAGGCACTGCCCGGTCAGCACATCCCACTTCCTGATGGTGCGGTCGGCGCTGCACGTGAAGGCAGCCTCGTTCTCCAGCTGGCAGAAGGTCACGTAGCTTTCGTGTCCTGTAGGCGAGGGGAGAGGTGAGCCTGGGGGCATGCCAGCCTCTGCTTTTCCTCTAGGAAGAATGCCTGAGGCGGCGCGGGGCAGGGGTGTTTGAGACCAGTCCAGAAGCGACTAGCCCTTTAAAATGAAAAGTTAAGTCTGGGAGAGTCTGTGGGGTGCCAGGAGCAACTCAGGGGACACTCACCCTGCCCCCCGAATCCTGCCGTTCCCTCCTCTTCATCGTCTTTCGGTCTTCAAACTATTCCTCAGTCATCCCACACACTCTGTAACTCAGTGTTACGGAGGCAGGAAGCACAGAGGCCAGGGGCATGGTCTTCAACGCCACAGCGCTGGGCTAGCGCCCTGAGCTACTACTGACTGACCACTGGCAAGTCATCTCGCCTCCCTGTGCCTTGATCTCCTCATCTGACACAGAGGAGGACTGTTCTGCAGACTGAGCTGCTAGGCGTTAGCTACTTTCACGCTCGGTGAGAAACACTACAGTAGGCAGAATATTGAGTCCTAATTCCTGGAACCTAGAAATGTTACCTTGCTTGGAAAAAGGCACATTTGCAGATGTAATTAAGTGAAGGCTCTTGAGTTGGAGAGATTATCAGCATGGGCCCTAAATGCAACCACAGGTGCCCTCGTAAGAAGGAGGCAGAACCCTGACTGGTATGCTCAATGGTTAGAGTGTCAGCCTGCACACCAAAGGGTCACAGGTTCTATTCTGATAAAGTGCACATACTGGGTTTCAGGTTCGATCCCTGGTCCCGGCCAGGCACGTGCAGGAGGCAACCAATCAATGTGTCTCTTTCACATTGGTATTCCTCTCTCTCTCTCTCCCTCTCTCTCTCTCTCTCTCTCTCTCTCCCCTGCTTCTCCCCACTCCCTTCCACTCTCTAAAAATCACTGGAAAAAATATCCTCACCTGAGGATTAACAAAAAAGAAAAAAAAAATCCTTAGATGAGGATTAACAAAAAAATTTTTTTAAAAAAGGGGGCAGAGCCCTGGCCGGGTAGCTCAGTTGGTTAGAGCATAGTCCTGAAATGCTAAGGCTGCAGGTTCGAACCTTGGTGGAAAGATAAACCAATCGATGTTTCTCACATTGATGTCCCCCCCGCCCCCCGGCAAAAAAAAATCAATAAACATATCCTTGGGTGAAGATTAAAAAAAAGAATCAACCAATGAATGCATAAATAAGTGGAACAACAAATCAATGTTTCTCTCTCTCTAAAATCAATTTTTAAAATTTTTTTAAAAAGAAAGATTTCTCAGTCTTCTTGGATAGCCTAGATCAGGCCTCTAGGAAAACAATGTTTGTGCGATTTAAATAAACACTTGAAGAAACTGCAGATTATGTTTCCCTTAAAAACATGTCAGTTTAAAAGTCGAGGGCAAAGTTTGTTTGGCAAAACACAGCCCTGCTTTTGGCCAAACCCAAAGAGTTTATAAAATATGTTAAGATTATCAACAAACCTTCCCTGAGACCAGAGCTGTCGGTTGGAGGGCTCAGCACTGTGAGGGGAGGGCAGCCGGGTGCCCTGAAGGCAGGGAGGTGCCACCGAGCTGGCCACACACAGGCTCACTCACGCCCAGCAGTCCTCCAGCCCAGCAGTCCTCCACCGACCCAGTGCGGACTAACCCAGGCCGCCCAGACAGGCTACCTGGGGGGCAGGGGGGGGGGGTCATCCCCATTCAATCTGCTTCCTTCCATCTCACAGGAAGGCCAAGTCAATTAGGGCAAGAAAAACACTGAGAAATGTTAGTGCCCCGGGACACCTGAAACCAGGGATGCTTTCAGGACTGCTTTTATGACACACACAAGTAAAAAGGAAAAAAAGAATATAAACACTGATTATGTATCAATAAAAACATAACACACAAACAAAAACTTAAGAGGTGATAATGAAAAGAAGTTTTTCTTTTTTTAAAATATATTTTATTGATTTTTTACAGAGAGGAAGGGAGAAGGATAGAGAGTTAGAAACATCGATCAGCTGCCTCTTGCACATCCCCCACTGAGGATTTGCCCACAACCAAAGTACGTGCCCTTGACCGGAATCGAACCTGGGACCCTTGAGTCCGAAGGCTGACGCTCTATCCACTGAGCCAAACCGGTTAGGGCGAAAAGAAGTTTTTCAATGTAAACAAACCTCATCTTGCCTGGCTGGTGTGGCTCAGTGGTTGAACATTGACCTATGAACCAGGAGGTCATGGTTCGATTCCTGGTCAGGGCACATGCCCAGGTTTCGGGCTCGCAGAAGGCAGCGGATCAATGATTCTCTTTCATCATTGATGTTTCTCTCTCTCCCTCCCCCTCTGAAATCAATTAAAAAATATTTTGAAAAAACCAAACACCCTCATTTCTTAAGTGGGGCCAGACTGACCCTCTGTCTTCTGGGGACCTGGCCCTGGGCTGGCTGAGGCTCCCTGCAGTGGTCAAGGCTCCCCAGTGGACAAGCCCCTTCCTCTGTGAGCCAAGCACCCACCGTGAATCTGAAAACACAAGCCAACTGAGTCCTGGCTCAGAGCCTCCCCAGCAGAGGGGCCCTGTAAGCTGCAGAGTGCGTCCCTGACCCCTGACCCTGATCTATAGACCAGAGACAGGGCTCTACTGCCCCCAAGGCCTTTAGGGCCACCAGGGGAGCAAGGCCTCACCCCATCCTGGGGAAGGATGAGGGAGAGCAAGGGGGAGAGAGGGCATGGAGGAGGGATGGCCCATCCTGTCTCCAGGGACCACAGCGCCTTGGCATCGAGCTGTTGGAATTATGCAGAATAAGCAAAAAAGCCAAACTAAAAATATTTTCGAAGGGATGAAGAGTGCAGATAAGACGCAGTTATTATGTTCAAAAGAACATGCTGAGGCTCAGGGGTTCCTGCCAAGGTCCTGGGCCCTCCCGGCCCCCCTGTCCTTACACTCTTAGACTGCCTGAGTTCAAAGTCAAAGTGCCCCTCCTGTACATGGAGTCCAGGATGGACGCAGCGCTGGGTCCGATGGGCTGGAGAGGGCATGAAGTGGTGCCCCCTTGCCCTGTGCTATCCCTGCGGATCTTCTGTCTGTCCCTCCAGAAACCTCTTCCCCCCGCCCCCCCCCCCCCCTCTGTGTGTGTGCGCGCGCGCGCGCGCGCGCGCGCACACACACACACACACACACACACAGGGTTCAGAGAGCTGGGAGCCCCGGCCCAAGACCTGAGATGAGGTGACAGGGACCCAGGTAAGAAATATATCCACTTCCAGTGAGTAAGTACACAAATATAAACCCACATGTATTTGAAAACTTTTATAAAGTCCCTGCTATGTCATCCAGTTTTCAAATAAGCTGAACTGCAGATAACGCGAGGCAGCAGAGATCAGGGCGGGGTGATCAAATTTCAACTGGGTCTCCACCGCTGCTCCTTAACTCGTGCCTCGGTTTCCCTGCCTGCGCGGGGAAGGGGGGGGGGCGCGGGGAACAGCGGGCGAGGACTGCCGCTC